TCATGTGACCAGGGTATGAAAGGGCCTGTCAGTGTTCCTGACAGGGAAGGCGATGTCGGGCGCTACTATAGCAATGGTTGTGGGCCTGGATCTGTAACCACAACAGCCATCAAAAGTTATACAGATACATAGTGCCAACGCAGATCTCAGTCAGCGTTCGCAATTCTTGATCTACTTTTTTCTCTGGGCTACATTAGACCTCGTTCCAGGATTAGATTGCTAGCATTGGATCACGTGATCTCCGTCTTCGGCCCATGTCACGGGACACTCACATTCCAATAGTTTACCATCGCTCATCCTACGAGACAGGACTCTCCTGTGGGAATCTCTTGGGATTGCTAAATTGAATCTACCTTACATGCAATGAATCTCGATTCGACTCTGATTACATAATTATGCCTTAACCAGGGAACGCAGTGACCCCTGTTTTAGCACGACTCTCGTCTCCACTTAAAATCCACTCCTCTCCTGTCAGACTTTCAAATGTTGAACACCAGAAGATCATTGGAATAAATAGCATAATACCCTTTCCATAGCTACCAATGTTGTTGGCCTCGGGCCATAGTGAGAATGTGTGCCGCCGTCCGTTCTCAGAAGGAAGTATCTCTCCTCAGTTTTATAGGGGACAGGTGCCTCAAGCGAGGACACTGATATTTTTTTTTTTGGGCGGCATTATTTCCCTAATCGGTGCTTGGCATCCTGATCAAGGGACAGGTACCTTAGGCATGCTGGACTATCAAGCCAGAAGCAATCATAACAAAGATAAAAAGAGTTAATCAATTTGGTGGGTCATCGTCAATAAATAACTAAAAAAATCAAAAAAAGGAAAAAGAAGGGAAAAAAAAAAACATTTTCTCTTGAGCTTGTGGGTCGGATAATTTCTTTTGGATTTAAAGTCCGTTTTTCCTTTTTTTCAATGGAGAATATTCCGAATATTCCAGATTCGACCCGCTGTGTGAACCGGGAAGTGGGGCCCAGGAGCTGGCCAAAATATTTTATTTCGACAAAATTCCCGCTTACTTGCATTTGCTGGCAGAAACTTACATATTTCACCACTGGGCTTCTCTGGAAGGAGGGCTGTATGGGACAAACCACTAGAAATATTATCATTATTTGGTGGGCTTAAAGGTTGTGCTATTCTTTACCATGATGGTCGGAGCATCTACACATGTAGCTTGAGAACTGGCGATACGCTCCATCTATTATGTTGGACTCTTCTAAAACAGAACCTCAACTTTTTCCTGGGCGTGTTGCGTTGACAACCTAGATCTAGGGACTCCACTCCCTATTTCCGACCGGGTACATGTAAATGCCGGAAACAGCCTCGCATGTAACTGGGAACTTGTCAAAAACCATATTCAGCACGAATGGAGGCATATTAGCAGCGGTCGGGTTCCGGGAGCGCCGCCGAAACGTGGGTGGGGTGAGCAATTGTCGTAACTTCATCCCAACCACCTGCTCCAAGCGTGATGAATATAGATTGTCGGCCGAACAATTCATACAGATGCTGAACCCCCCAGTTGCGAACTCGGACACATTCATAGACGTAGATAATATCCTCTTTTTCTGTGAAGCTCACCAAACCCCCTTTATTATTTGTAATTGTGATCTTGGGCCTGCGCGCTGTGTGGTAACCAACAACCAGATATCCCTGGGGTCTGCCTTCTTCGACAAGTTTTTGATAGAACTCATGGTGATTGTTTAACCTATGTTCTTGAAATCTTTCGGTCGCAATTGTAGTTGTGACGCCCCTTGAAGACGTATAAACGGATTTGCAGTTCGCGAAAGCATTAACGCTGTAGTCTCTGCGCAATCCCAGATCGAGGAAGTTGTTTGGCGGTTCTGCGTCCTTAAAAATAAAGTAGCCCAGCTGGACATCCTTTTTTGGCAAAAAGGGCACGAACAAGATCTCTGCCATAGTCGTGAAAGAAGGAGGAAAGTGTTTATAGGTGAAAACGAAGGCTCTAAACGTGGGCGGCCGCTCTGACCCTACAGAGCGTGAGCAGAGTATGTATTCTGGAGTGGATAATATTCATATACTGTATATACCTGGAATATTAGGTTCCCCTCTTTGAATAAGGGTTGGCCTTGGCCCATGGATGGATAAGAGAATGTACCACGGAAACCGCAGTGCTGGGCGGAAATTTTCAACGGTGAAAAACGTAAAAGGATTAACGTAATTTAGATGAATTGGGACTGATGTATATTACAGGTAATATTAATAAGTATTTTGGTTCTATTACCATGTCTTGATGCACTCGGATTGCACTTCTGGCATGCTTTCCAAAATATCTTCACGTTACTGGGCGGATCTGTACATGTTGCTACGGTCTCGGCTTAATTCAGGGATCGAGGATGTAAATAGTAAATGTTGTTATCTGTTGGCCCATTGGTCTTTTCACCGCTTTTGCCAACCTTTACCAACTACGAGCGCATATGTCGGTCCCTAATGACCTAGAATTAGGATGATTTGGCACTGCGTCTGGAAGCCATATGCCCCGTCCTTAGCGAAAGATTTACATGGAGAACCACAATATCCAGCGAGGATTGGCACCCAAAATTTCGCTAGAGGTGTAGACGTCCTTTGGACCGCGGTTCTGTAACGAATGATGGTATTTTATACCAATATTACGCTAATTCCCTAAGGCCTTGTGGACTGACCTAAAGTCCATTCGCATGACGCCTCAGAGGATGCATGGCGTTATACTCTCGCGATGTCCTGAATTCAAAGCTCAGAGAGAACTATAAAGGGGGAGGCACCATCCCTTGTAGCTTAACCAGAATCTAGTTCAACATGCGCTGTTGTGCGATGTCCTCATCCTTAGGCAGTCTCCCCCTGAGGTACGTAGGAGTCTTGGAACAGAAACTCCGTCTTTTAATCAAAAGCAAAAATAGGTGTGGGACTCTATCCTCTTTTACCTTACACCGAGATGTCTGGTGAAATTTTCTCGTGCTTCTTCGTATTGTTCCCACATGGTTCGTTCGCAGGTCAATCGCCGTATCATGTATTATCTCTCCCCGCGGGCACCATTCAAACTCCAAATGGTACTCTCGGACCCGGCGGCAATGCAAGGATGTGAGACATTGGAATTGACCCGGTGCCGAGATCCTGCCCAACACCAGTACTTTGGCACCCCGAACACTGTCCGAAAGACGCTACCGCGGAATGATAATTACATCAGTTTCAAGCTATCCCGAAGCCAGAGCCTCGAGAAGCTCAATCCAGGTTCAATCGCGCCCGACAATATACCCCCAATCCCAGCGCACGGGGGTTATAGTAACACGATACAGCTTGATAAGCTTGACTTTCTGTACCAAATGTGCTTTCCTATTCATAGATGCAGATCTCAATCATATATCCACGGGAGCAACTTTTGTGGCGGGAGAATGAAAATGATTAGGCTTTGGAGCAACTGGTTTACCCAAAGCCCGGTTCAATCTAATCTCAACGGCAGCGGACCTGACTTGAGGCTATTTTCGAAACTTGTCTGGACTGATTCAAGCTTTGATGTTGGTATTATTATTTCGGCGCACAGGGGTATCTTGCTAGAACAGGGATGTTTCATTCCTTGTCTTGGACATTTTGCTGGATTGTGTTCCGCGTCACAACTGTTTCAAATTGACGTCGATGAGGTGGTTATACGAGATAACTATCTATTAGCCCTCAAAGAGGGCTTCAGCATTTAACTAGGCACCGAACTCCTTGCTAAATTGAGTTCTTCTTTTGCTGGCAAAAAGATGTCGTGGGGTACGATCTAGGCGTAGTTGGGATTTTTCAATCTACCACACACAGAGTGCTATCTGCTTGGTCTACACTTTCTTAAGAAAAATTGGGGCAAGGTCATCCACTTTGGTCCCTTTCATGATCGTAGCACTATTTCGGTAAGCTCCTGCTAGACCCCAATGAGGGTAAAAAAAGCCTAAGAATCATCATTCTCTAGGGTCTACATATTCTGCGTTAGATCAAGTGATGGCTTCCCAACTGAGGAATCTACGGTCTACGCACTAACATGCAACGAAGCCTTCCGAAAGCCCTAGCAAGTGAAAACATCGCGTACTCTACACAGAGTGTCACAACGTCCTATAAAAATCAATTCCATGATAGGTCGACTGCTGACACACTTAGTCCTTGATCGTCTATTGTCACCTTGTTCTCTGCATTTGGAAGCGCTGTATCGTGAGCTTCCAATTTGTGGTGAATTCAAAGGTGTCTTGGGGAGATTTGCTTGGAGCGTATTGTTCAGTTAATGGTGTCCTTTCCATACACTTCGATAGTGAGTGTGAGGGCTGTAAATACGTACAATCGAGCGTAGTCGACCAAAAGCCGTCAGAGAGATGTGCGTCTAGCGCTTTTTCCGATTGGATTTTCCATATTGAGTCTATTTACTACATATTTTCAGCATTGAATAACTCGCAAGACCAGACCTTTGATTCTCGATTCCCTAGGGGAATAAATGCAGTCGGTATTGACATCCAACTTTTTTACCTGCCATGAAGAAGCCCTTGGCGGATATAACTATTCGATAAGTATAAACCGCGTGATATGTCCCTTAAGATTAGAAATCAGGTATGGTTGAGGTTGCAGACGGATGCCTTTGTGTTAGCTCATCTAGAGTAAGCGCCTTCTTTAATAGAAAAGGGTTCAAGTGGAGTTCCGGTTCTCTCTCCTCTACGACCTATGCTGGCAGACTTGCTTGTCCTCCCAGCCTGACTTTCCATTCTGCTGTCTATTCCACCACTCTTAGGCCTTGATCAGAGACATGATTCCGTTGCATGCATCAATATGTGATTATGAACCCCTGTGCTGAGAATAAGTCACTATTCCGCAAGATACGAGTAGAGCATGCTACAGGAGTAGTATGTCATGGAATTCGAAATTTAGGTGTATGACGTGTTGTTTGTGCGTAAGGGCCTTTCCTTGCCTGCCATTTCCGCCTTGGGATTCGCTATGGTAGTTACCGCGGGCTATGCGGTTCTGTCACGTCTCATACACAACGAGCATGACCGTCCAGGAAGGCAAGCGCCGGTATGCATTACATTCAAGTGTAGCGCCCTGTGGCAATCTTAGCTAGAATGACCCACTCCAGGTTGAGACCAACACCCTGACTATCGAATGGAAATATCCGCTAGGGGCAGCGTCATGACGAGTTTCCCAATCTAGGTAAATAGAATCAATTCACGCTAGTTACATACAGTATAGCACGGGAAACTGTAGGAAAGGCATTATAAAAATTGGGAGGGCAAGGTAAGCTGCCATCAGTGCGCTTCTTCACTGCGGCTATTTTACTAAACCCAAATCTGCTCTCAGGCCTACTTTGCCAAAACACGGATGCCATCATGTTGCGCAGAGTCATCCTCGCAGCGGCGTTAATGCTGAATCCCACCGGAGGTCTCGTACCCCGGCCCCGGATCTTGTGGGTCTAGAGAAACTCTGGTCCTACGGGCAGTTGGAGCCTGTCTACCCGACATGCACGTATCCCACGATAATGGCCATTCAAACTACTCTAATCTGATTTCTAGTCGAGACCAGAGGCTTAGGGAACTGGACAAACGCATATGTTCAAGCCAAGAAGCTGGTAGCTCAGATGACCGCCGAAGAGAAAAGCAATTTCACGTACGGATATACTTCGACCATTAATGGCTGCTCTGGAAACTCGGGCGGTGTTCCGCGGCTCGGGTACCCTGGAATCTGCCTTCAGGACGCAGGCAATGGGGTCCGTGGCACCGACATGGTGAACAGCTATGCCTCGGGCATTCATGTCGGCGCATCGTGGAACCAGCTGCTCACCTATGATCGGGCAATGGAAATGGGGAGGGAGTTCAAGAGGAAGGGGGTGAATGTTGCGCTCGGACCTGTAGTGGGCCCTTTGGGTCGTATTGGCCGGAACTGGGAGGGCTTTGGCAATGACCCATACCTCTCGGGGGTTTTAGCAGGCGTTACCGTCCTGGACTACAAGAGTCTGTGATAACATGTGTTCAAGCATTTCATTTCCAACGAGCAAGAGACCAGTCGCAACCCGCCCTTACTCACCCCGGGTGCGCTCAATCAGTCGGTGTCATAGAACGTGGACGACAAAACACTACACGAGCTCTACCTCTGGGTCGAAAGCAAATTTCCCTCCAGATACAGGCAGTGTTTTTCGATTCGTTATACGTATCTGTACTACGGTAATCAACATTTGGACAATCATTTATTTTAAAAATAATTACTAAGTTAGGATCAGCACGTTACGTAAGCTGATATATTCCACGACCATTTTTGGTAGGTTTCAGCACGCGGAAATACAGTGTCTAACGGAGCTGCTTGCCAAAATCCGTTTTGTCGACAATACCAACTGAGATTCCCAAGTAATACTCAATTAAGTGGATGTTCGGGGTTGCACTTCAGTTTTATACTTCGATACAGAAGGAAACCGAAAAATAAAAATAAAAATAAGACCACTTTCTACTAGTCAAATATAAAGGTCGACCAATTGCCTATAAACTTATTAGGAGGCCTTGGCTCTACAAAAATCGAAGTTCACTCATCCCCTACCCTATACCTATCGCTGCATATCTGAATGCGCTATTCGGGTCCCAAAAGAATGCCACCCCGAAGTCAAGTATCTACAGCGTTTGGTCGGAACAGAAGATCACTACCTGAACTACCCCGCTGGAAACTGCGCATGATCTATGATATGATAGTCAGCAAAACACTGTCTGTGGCGGATATGGCAGAAGCGGCGAAATGCAGCGCGGAATCAATAAAAGAAATCTACCATTTGCTTCAAATCTTAGCCTTCCGTGAGGACAAAAATTTCTCCCTCGCCATCTGCAACAGTCAATATAAACGTCTTTCCAGCAGACTCCTCAACGCTTCCATCAATCTCAATTTCGGCGACAGCTCGCTCTGTGAATATTTACGTGACAGGAAATATCACAGTTTCTGTTCCTAAAGAGGGTACCATTGAAAAACAAGAATCATGACCGACACGAGCGCTATGATGTTGAGACGACTTTCTTCGAAGTCCATAATCGCTCGCAATAAAGAATGCGCTAAAGCTAGCATGTCTTATCACAGACTAACACTAGCATAATAGAATATGGGTAGGGTTCGGTCTGGTTTATGTGTATTAAATCCGGAAACCTTTTTGCCTTTAATGTTACAAAACCATATTACGTGTATAACAAATTAAGGAGTAATCAGATACGGCAGACTGGGAAGATCACCATGGCATCTCTCACCAGTAATGCACGGCCAGAGGGTAATACTTCTCCAGATTTAAATATTCATCAGCGAGAATCCTAGCGACAGTAGCGAGTATACGTGTAAGGTACGAACTTAAGAAAATTACAGCTTACACAGAGCCTCTACTCTTACTTACTACGTCTTTTCCCGTTGTGTGAAGGGATCGTAAGTCAACACAATTTAAGTTTAAAACGGAACAATTTTTAAGGCTTGCGTGATGTCGATTCTGTTCTCTAACATTGATGGAGAATCGGTGAGCTGGATCGTATTCCGCAGCGTGTTACACCACGGTATTGTACACTTTGAGGTGCGAGATGCTGAAGGGTCTCGACGAACTTGGATCTTTACGCCATCGGTGATCGCAATGCTGATACCATGGCAGGGCAGCTAGACTGATTGCAAGCAAGCTTGCCTCGCCTCATCCGGAGAAGGGGTGACGTAGTGGCTTTGTCCGTTTTGTTATGACACACTGCCGAAACAGGAAACAGTGGAGTATAGACAGTCCAGTGCTACCTCCTGTGGTTTCGCTCCGCCAGCAAGTCGACCCCTGGTCTGTCGCTTCCGCTTGATCCATATCATATTCCGCAAGAAAAAGAAATACCAAGCAAGCACTAATGTGCCGTGTATAGATCGTTACAGAATTCCATGCGAATTTTCTCATCAAGGATGCCTTCTTTCACAACAACATGCGACTTTCCGTTCATAACTTCGTGTTGTTCCCAAATCGAAGACACGTCATGCCTTGATATGTTCTCAAACAACCACTGCTCGTAGTCTGGGTCACGTTGTTTCAGAATTGTGCCAAACTGTCTGTCGACCGAGTGTTCAATCATGCATCGCTCTATACGAGACAGTGCCTTCTCACTTATGTCGCTAGTATCGAATTCAACGAGTAGACGCCTTTGCCGATCCATTTCGTATCCAAGCACTAGCGTAAGATGGGCACGCTTGCGATATGATAGAATATCTGACATGTCCTGCACCACATTGATTACTGAAATATCCGCTGAGCAGAAGGCGTCTAGCAGATAATTAAACTCAGTCATCGCTTTGGCTTCTGCGCAGTCTGGACAGGCGTGAATATCTCCAGAAAGAGATGTGAATGGGCTCCAGCGGATTATATACTTTCGCACCGAAAATGCCCTACCTTATTACACCGTGATCCTTTGAATTTATTCCGGTAACCCACATGCCAAGCGCGCTTCTTATCACCTGATTATTCAAAGGAGAGGGGTTTGGCCCCAGGGCTAGTAATTTAGAATGGATTCAGTACATGGTTATATAATCGGGAATGCCTCATTTCAAAGCATTTCCAACAAACAGCTACGAGGATGATTGACGATATTCTGTCGTTATGGCCTTTGTGGCGATCGGTTGCTAGAAATTTGTCGGTGGGGGATCTACAGTCGCTCCGAATGTGCAACAAGTGCCTGAACTCCATATGTCTCGATGAAGGCCTCTATAGGCGTCGAGTGTTCGCACATGACCTGAGAAGATGCTTCTCTGACTGGGTGATGTTCCTTGAAGTGATACGGTCAAGCAATGCGCTATTAGCCGGACCCCCGATCATAAAGCTCTTGACGCAAGAACATCTGAAGGTGGTCGAAGATGTTGACATATCCGTGACTGAGAAATATGGAGCAGCGTGGGCGCAGTATCTCGCGGAACGTGAGGGCTATGAAGTCATCTACGAGTCTTCACGATGGCGCAACAAGCGGAGCCAGGTAAGGCTGACCCATAGGCTTGTTACCAAACTAACTTTGTAGGTCTTTCGTTATTCAAAAGTGGTTAAGAGGGGCGCAGATTCTGAGCGGCGCGTAGTGCAGCTTTTTGTCTTTGTTTCACAACGAATCGAGGAACAGTACTGCCAGTTGATGGGGATCTCATCACTTATGACATATTGGCGAAACAATCAGATTGTTTCATTCTTTTCACAACAACTGTTCTCAAAGACGTTCTGGAGCACACGAATTGGGTTCGTCGGAGTATTTCCATACTCCGGTCTCAGGTATGGCAACATTCAAGCGCTCCGCGAGGCGGGGTTCCATGTCAATGGTTGGATATCTTTTGATGAGAACGAAAGCTGTAAATTGAGCAGCAGGTGTGTGCTGTTTCCTGTTACGCTCACTGGAAGACATGATTTCCGGATGAGCCATATGACTCCATATCGAATAACGGTGGAGTACCCAGAAGTTACAATCGAGTACAGTCAATATCAATTGTGATTTGATGAATTAGAGAATCTTGTAAACCTGATGAGTAATTGTGACTAAGCACTCACCGACAGTCGGTCCCCTCCTGTCAGTGAGCCAATGCCTAAACACAAACCAATGCCTAAACACAAAAAATTCAACTATTCAATTTCAAACCCAATTCTCTCCACCAAAACAATGCCGTTTTCTACCGAAAAAGAAGAGATCTTGCTCTCAAATGCCCTTGAAGCCTATAATTCTGGTCAATTTAAGAGTATCAAGTCTGCAGCCTCCCATTTTAACGTGTCAAAGTGGAAGCTGCGAAACCGAAATGAGGGCCGACCGAGTAAAAAAGGGCGTGCAGCTACCAATAAAGCATTAAATGAGTCGCAAGAGAAGTCTTTGATTCATTGGATCGAGCTCCTTAATTCGGTCTATACACCACCTAATGCTTTTGATATTGAGGATGCTGCAAATCGCATTTTACAATACTGCGGTTCCGACCGACGGGTTAGTAAAATGTACGGATATCAATTTATCCAACGTTTACCACCCCATATTACCCTCCGAACCCAAAAACCTATAGAAAAAGCGAGAATCGAGGCTGAATCTCACGGTGAATTAATTCATTGGTATGAGGTTTTTGGTGATTTTCTCAAAAAGAATAAGATCCAAGCCAATGAATTATATAATTGGGATGAAACTGGCTTTCAACTAGGCATTGGAACAAAGGAAAATGTCGTGTCTACCCGCCAAAATGAGACTATTGGAACCGGTGGAATTGGTCAGAATATTACTGGCATTGAATGTATTTCAGCTGATGGCTGGGTTATGCATCCTTGGTTCTTGATTCGCGGTTCTGAGCATATGGAAGACTGGTTCGAAGACGACGATAATATAGCCAATTACCGGGTTATTAAACCAACTTCTAAAGGCTGGACAGACGATACAACTGCAATTCAATGGCTATTGGACTTCCATTTCGTCACGAAAAAGCGAGTTACCAAAGGTAGACCTAGAGTTCTACTTATGGACAATCATGGTTCTCATGGAACCCCGGAATTCGAGCATATCTGTCAAAGTTTTAACATCATTCCTTATTGGTTTATTCCAAAAATGACACATCGATGTCAACCTCTTGACGGTAAACCATTCTCAGTTCTTAAACAGCGTTTTCGGCGGAAGAACAATGAGATTGAACGCTGGGGTGGCGATGTCAATGATAAACGGCATTTTTTTCGAATGATCAAAACAGTCCGCAAAGACACATTCAAATCGCAAACTATCAAATCAGCATTTGCGGATACTGGCATTTGGCCTTGGGATCCAAAACTTGTTCCTGATCAAATTGATCCTGGGTGGGAAGATGAACCAGTGATTGAAATTTATGGTCATACGCCCTCCCCCGAAGCCGAAATCCCAAGTTCACAGACGAATTCACCACCAAATACACCTCACAGATGGTCAAAAATTGAGGATAAACTCGAAACAATCCTCGAAAATGATGAACCAGACGTTTCAAAACTCCAAAAGCATGTAAAACGTG